AGTTCCCCTTTCCTCAAAGAGATGCAGCCTTTTTCTTCTATCCAGGGCTTCAATTGAATGGATAAGGCGCACTCACATCGGGGAGGGCGATTGGCTTTACTCAGTCTACTGATTCAAATGGTAATCTCATCCAGAGATGTCCTCACAGAGACACCCAGAATAATATTTGACCACATATCCAGGTACCGCATAATCTGGTCATGTCAACACATGAACATCACACTGGGCCAGGGCATTTCACATAATCTTCACCGTATTTGAGGGATGAATGGTTAAATAAACCTGTGGCACATCCATGCCTTGGAATACTGCTCAACAATAAAAAGAAACCAACTATTTATACACACAATATGGAAGAGTTCCCAGAGAATTATGTGAGTGATAAAAGCCAATGCCAAAATGTTACACACTGTATAATTCCATTTATATAACAACCTTGGAATGACCCAGTTATAGAAATGGAAAACAGGTTAGCGGTTGCCAGGAGTTAAGGAAGTGGGGGAAGCTGGTAGGGAAGCAGGTGTGATTATAAAGGGCAATGTGAGCGATCACTGAGATAGAAACATTACTTATCTTCACTGCATAGGGGATACACAAACTTCACAGGTGATGAAGTTGCATAGATCTAAATAGAAAAACACACATCCCAGATATATGGATGCCCAGCAAGTTAAATCGGAATCGCTTTGGTGCTGTCTGGTGTTTGTACATTTTTACAGTCACTCCTCAGCTGATTCTAATGTTACATCAGAGTTAAGAGTCATTGACCAAGGCATTTTCAAAGAAATAACTTGATAAGAATTTTACAACATACTTTTTTCTCATTTGATTTTGTAGTTTTTTTATTATATTAGTCACCATACAGTACATATTTGCAACACACTGCTAGCAAAAGCAGTTCTGTGTAATAAGACATTAAAATCCCCAAATCATTAATTTCTATTTAGATGTAAATGGTATGTAAATCTATAATAGCCCTCCAAGTATTCCAAATCCTTGCTACCCAAACAGCTTTCCAGGACACCATCTGGGAGCTTTTTAGAGAAATGCAGAATTTCTCGTCCCGTCCAAGATCTACTGAATCAAAATTTACCTTTTATGGATATCCCCAGATGATTCAAATTCACATTAAAGTTTGAGAAATACTCATATAGATCCTTCCTTAAATGCATATGTTCGGAATTTTCTCATAACACAATTTTCGTCAGAGAACATAGTTGTAAATAAGTAAATCTATTGTGATGATAATTTTTTCAGATTTATTTATTTATTTATTTGAGAGAGAGAGTGCCCGCACCCTCTTGTGTCCAAGTCAGGGGAGGAGCAAAGGGAGAGAATCTCAAGCAGGGTCTTGGCTGAGCACCCAGACAGGTGCAGGGGTCTCAATCTCACAACCCCTGAGATCATGACCTGAGCTGGAACTAAGAGTCAGATGCTTAACCAACTGAGCCACCCAGGTGCCCCTATTGTAATGATAATTTCTGAGGAAATTAAATCTCTTAAGCCATTAAATGGCATTTCTAAAAACATGATGTGTTGGTAATACTCAATATGACCTATGGTGGAAAATGATCTACCCAAAAACACCACAGTGTATACACAAAATAATGGGAGTGGCTTTCACAACACAAAGAAGCTTTAATTGCATCAGATGAAATCTCATTTGTGATTCATCTTTCAGATGTGTGGTGTTTGACTATATCTTTTACGTACAGACAATTTTGGATTGTGTCATCTTGGGTGCAAAAAGAGAAAATATTGTGGATACGGAGTCCTGATGTTTAGGTTCTTTTCATAGAATTACTGCTCACTGGTTGAATGGTTTTGGAGGTGTCAGCTTCTTTGTCAATAAAGGACTGGCCTCGATGGGGCTATCTCATAAGTATTTACAGAGACATAGTAGAGTTTATCCTTGCAGGGAAGGACGGGATCCTTGGGTAAGGATCTGTAACCTTCCCGCTTCCCCTCCCAATTTTTAATCAGAGAGTTTAATCAGTGATCTGTTTTACCTATTGCAACTTTCAGGTAACCTCATTTGAATGAAGTTTTCCTATTTAAAAAAAGCCACAAATAATTGCTAATTAAGGTTTCTTGGAAATACTTTGATTTCAAGTTTAAGGACCATGTGATAATGAGGTCTACTGGACACAAAGCATATACAGCATTTAGAATAGTGATCTGCATGTGGTGGCCGCTAACCAAACATTTTAAAATTGATTTTTACCTGTCTACCAGACGTCCTCAGAGTTGCACTGCTGAGCCTAAGTGAGCTTGCAGTACCATGTAGGGACATTCAAATACCAGTTCTTCCATCAACAGGTTTATGTGAGTCTGTGCAAGCAATGTAATTTCCAGAAAGCAGAGTATTCATAGATAATGAGTCCCACAGTCCCTTAACCACAACTCCAAAGTCCAAAAGGTCTAAAAATAGGTTTTGTAAATGAATTAGAGGCAAATCTGACCTGAATATAGATGGGACTATGAAGAGTTCTATGTATCCCACTTAAATCGATGTGTCATTGGAGAAATACTAGGTTACAGGCTGCTGCCCCAGGGTTGCACAGGGGGTTGTATGCATCACAGTACTTTGTGTTGGATGGGCCACCAAATAGCTGACCCAGGACGGAGTTAGAAGAGCCAGAGTCTTACTGGGGATAACTCCTGTGGGAAATACCAGGGGGGAGGGATGAAGCAGGATCCCATAAGGAAAGCCTGCAGGACACCTTGCAGATTCTTGCATTGGCAGGGTTAGCCAGGTTCCTGAGCCCCACTGGGCTCAGGTCTTGGCGGGGGACTGACTGTCCAGAAAGAGCATAGGCCTTGGCTTGAGAGGATGAGGCCAAAGTACTGACCGCTGGAGGTTGTCAGCTAACTGTACTCATTACAGCTGAACAGAAGGTGCTTTGTGAAATGCGATCCGGGAGGTACTATGCCACAATTTCCACATAGCTGTTTCTTCTTTTAAACAGCTTTAATGATGTATAATTTATGCACCATAAAATTTGCCTGGGGAAAGTGTGCCGTTCAATGATTTTTAGTAAATGTATATGTTTGTACAACAAAAATCATGATCCAGTTTCAGAATATTTCCATCACCCCAAAATGTTAACTCTCTCTTCCCACTCCTACCCCCAGTGCAGAAACATTCATCTGTCTTTCCACTTTTATGGTTTCGCCTACTCTAGCATTTTTATCTGAATAGCATCATATAGCATGTAATCTTTTGAGTCTGGCTTCTTTCACTTGTGTTTCTTTGTGGATGATCCGTGTTGTGGCGTGCTATCAGTAGTGGATTTTTTGGTATGGCATGGATATGCCACATTTTGTTTATCCATTTCTCAGTTGATGGATTGCTTCAAGTTTTTGGCTGTTGTGAATAAAGTTGCTGTGAACATTTGTGTACAATTCCTGGTGTAGACACATTTTCATTTCTCCAGTAATGAAGTTGCTGGGTCATATGGTACATGTTTAATTTTTTCTTTTTGTTTCTTTTGTAGATTTAATTTTTAAAAGAAACTGCCAAACAGGTTTCAAAGTGACTGTACCATTTTGCAGTCACACCAGCAATGTATGAGGGTTCTAGTTTCTCCACATATTGGTATGGTCACAATTGTTGGTTATAGCCATTCCAAAGGGCGTGTGTGGTATCTCATGCTTTTAACCTGTTTCTCCAGTGACTAATAATGTTGAACCTCTTTTTGTGTTTATAATCATTTCTACGTGTTCTTGCAGGAAATGTCTTTTTGTCCATTCTTTATCTTCTTAATGAATAGAAGTTCTTTACACAGTCTAAATAAAATTGCTTTATCAGATATATGGTTTGCAAACATTTTCTCCTAGTCTGTGGCTTGTCTTTTCTTTTTCTTAATGGTTTCTTTTGAAGAGCACACACACAGAAAAGTAGCTTTGAGGTCCAATTTATTTGTGAATTGTGCCTTTAGTATCTACTTCATATCGAAGACATCTTTGCCTAATCTAAGGTGAAAAAGATTTCTTGCTGTGGTTTCTTGTAGACATAATTTCAATTTTATGTTAGGTCAGTGGTTCTCAGATGGGAGCAGTTTTGCTCTCCAGAGAACATTTGGGAATACTTGGAGACCTTTTAGATTGTCAAAACTGGGTGGGGTGTGCTACTAATGCCTAATAGGTAGAGACCGGTGATGGTGCTAAACATACTACAATGCATGGGACAGCCCCCCAACAGCAAAGAATTATCTGGTCCAAGAGGTCAGTAGTGCTGAGGTTGACAAGCCCTAAGTTGGGTTTCTGGTCCATTTCAAGTTAGTTTTTGTGTACAGTGTGAGGTAAGGATCTACACACTTTTTTCTGCATGTAAAGGACATATGTGCATTTTTTTCTTCTCGTTTTTCTTTTTCCATGACATTTGTTGTAAGGAATATCCTCCTGCATTGCATGGCCTGGCACCTTTGTTGAAAATCAACCGACCACAAGATATTAAGATTTATACTTAGATTCTCTATTTTGTTCCCTTGATCTACATTCCCCTTTAATGCCAACACCACACTTCTTGATGGCTAATTTTATAGTACATTTTGAAATCCAGCAGTGTAAATCTTCCAACATTGCTTTTTCTAAAAAAATGTTTTGTCTACTAGGGGTTCTTTGCATTTTCATATCAATTTTAGCATCAGCTTTTCAAACTCAACAAAAAAAGCCACCTGGGATTTTGATGATTACATTTAATCTATAGATGAATTTGAGGAGAACTGACATCAATATTGAGTCTTCTAATCTTGAAACTTGGCATATTTCTCCATTTTTCTCAGCAATGATAGGTTTCAGTATACAGGTCTTAACATTTCCTGAATTTTTTTCCTATTGGGTTTATTTTTAGTTGCCATAGTAAATGTAATTGTATTCTTAATTCCATTTTTGAATTGTTTATTGCAGCATAAAGAAACACAGTTTTTTTCCTTTTTTAAATTTTATTATGTTATGTCAATCACCATACATTACATCGTTAGTTTTTGATGTAGTGTTCCATGATTCATTGTTTGCATATAACACCCAGTGCTTGTATTTTGATTTTGTATCCTGTAAATCTTGCTTACCTTGCTTATTCATTCGGTATTATCTTTGATTCCTTATAATGTTCTATATGTAATAGTAACCTTTGAGAATAGTTTTACTTCTTCATTTCAAATCTTCATGCCTTAATTCCTTTTTCTTGCTGCCTTCTCTAAGTGTAATCAGCAATACAATCTTATATAGAAATGCTGAGAGCCACATACCTTTCAAAATTAAAAAAAAAATTAGAGTTCTGGGACTATGTTTTAGGTAAGGGATTACAGACCTATAGCTACTGACTTCTGGGATTGTTAGGAGATTAAATGAAGTACCACATATACAATGCTTTGTGTAATTCCTGACACAAATCAGCACCCTCATAAAATGTTACCTTTCAGAAAGAATCTCAACCAGCCACTGGCAGGCAGGCCAGCATTAGGGATCAGAACTTGGCACTGAGATGCAGACCTGGGTGGTCGTCTGTGGCTGATGGGGTAGGGGATGGTCCCCAACAAGAGTCAGCACAATTTTCGTCAGCCTCCTCAGGAATCTTTGGTGTTGTGGGAGCTCTGCCAAAGTACCTGAGCTTCAAAGTAGCCAAGCCCACAATGCCTGTGGACATAGTGAAACAGGGTTTATAACTTGGAAGGAGGGGACTGGTGCCTGCTGAGTTGAGGGGATTGTTTGGAGCATAGATTATATTAAAATTAAGAGGAAACTCATTTCCTTGTGCATTGCTATCTCCTTCTCTGAAGGTTTATTCTAGAAGCTGTTCCACTATATTTGTTGAGGGACTTGAAATTTATTAAGGTTGGAGTAACAGCGGAGATGAGGAACAGATAACATGGGGAGGGTATAGTATCAGGAGGAAGTCTTGGTGCTACCTCCAGCCTTGTTGGGACTTAGCATTTCTCTCCTTTAGAAGGGGACCAGTGTGTATATGATTCAGCCCCACTGCCAATTTCCTCTAAGGAATGGCAAGCATTGTACAGCCAGCAGAGGCCATGATCTCTTGTTGGTAATGCTCTCCTCACCATAAACTAACCTGGAGAAGTAGGGCTCCTCTGGTGGCATTAATTACGGCAAAGCTCCCACACCTGTTTTCATTAATTACTTTGAGAAGAATCTCAGGTAGGTAAAAAGTAACCCTAGTAACTGATTGATATCCTTTGTACTAGGATATGACATGTCAGTAAAGATCTTCGAGTCCAACCAAGAAACTTAAGGGGTTCTTTGCTCTCAGTAATAAAACAACTTAAATGAATTCCCACTCTTTATTTAACAGTATGGTGCTTCCATGACCAAGGTTCTATGACCTCTTAATCGTGATCATCACTAAAATACTAAGATTGGCATTGCATAGAAAAGGCCCAAATAGGGCTGGTCAGTGCTTCTGTAAAGCACACATTCAGTCATCAGAAAGTCACATGGAGGAGCTTCTTTATATAAAAACCACAAGGCACACGTGTGATGATATAAAAAGGCATCGTTTCTGCATCCATCCCTTCTCTTGAGTGTTTGCTCATGTGAATGTCCAAAGACAACTTTGTGAGCTGTTGGCAGCAGCCCCGTGGTGTTGACTGATGGGCCCATCATTGCAGCAACAGGTAGTTGTCAAAGGCACAGACCTTGTGCTGAGTGACTGAATCTAGAGAAAGAGAAAAGCAGTTTAGCATTTATAACGGCCAACCATACAGTAAAATAACCTTTTTGTATACATGCAAGGTCCTGTTTTAAAGTCTTAAATGGCTTAGAGCTGCCTTGTTTACATGTCTGCATAGCACACGTGGCTATTTAAAATTAAATAAATAGTTCAGTTCCCCCATCACACTAGCTACATTTTAAGGGCTCAGCAGGCACATTATTCCTATAGATACAAGCCTTAGGGTGTTGCCATTGTGGCAAGATACTGTGTTAGGGTGAAAGTTTGCCAGTCTGTGGCATGAGAGACCAGAATTCTAATCTCTGCTAGCTACAGAAAATACCCTCTGGTACAAGGCAAAGTCTATAGAAATATGTAAGTTCCCCATACAGCACTACACATTCTAGGCAGTGTATCTATCCCATCTACCTAGCTGAGTACTTCATGCAGAGTACAGAGTTAGTTTCTACAACTCATGTCTATTATCTTTCAGTTGAAGAAGTTGGACCAGTGAGCTCTAAAGTCCTGTCCATTTGAAAGCCTGTTATTTCATCTAAGTCACAAGAAGTCCCTTGGGCCAGGATAAGCTATAGATGCAGGAGACGGTACTGCTCCCAGCCCTGCTTGTAGGAGGATGAGCGAGAAATGCAGTGGGCCGGGGGCACCGATGGAATTAGAAATTAAATTACAGTTAACTTACTAATTACTATTATGATCCACAGGGGTGGACAAATTATACTGAAGGATCTTAAGATGCCACAATGATGAGTGAGAGCAGACAGGGAGTCAAAAAAAAGGTTTGTTCTGTGAATACAGGAGGACAATGGGAGACAAAGTGGCGCATCTTAGTTGTAGGTCCCAATAGTGTCCCAGAATTCGGTTGTGACCTGTCTAGTATAAATGCAGTTTCCCACAAGAGGTCTGAACTGGGGAGATGAATTTCAGAGGGGAGGAGCACTAACACTTGTTATATGTATATATTATATACATGATATAACATTAAAATTAACATACCTGATGTAACTTTTACAACCATGAGTAGTACTAAGCACAACCACTTACTTCACACTGTAGTGAAGTGGCATTATTACGATTTACATTTTAGTATTAGTCCTTTATTCATGGTAAGTGTTGTTCATATATTCTGTCATTCGCCTTTTGAGTTTTCTTATGCAAAACAGTTTTTATGTGTGCAGATTATGTAAATCTTTTACTGCATCTGGGCTTAGAACCATAGGTAGAAAGCTTTTCCCTATACCCAGTTTTAAAGCAATTCAAAAAGTGACACACTTATAAAAAAGTAACACACTTGTTCTGATGTTTATATGAAAGAAAAAATATATAGCAAGACAATTTTGAAAAAAAGGAATAATGAGAATCTGATATACTAGATACCAAAACACACTATAAAATTACCGTAGTAAAACAGTATGTAATTAGCACAGAACCAGATAAGTGAATCACTGGGAGAGTCCGGAAACGTGTCCATGCATATATGGGAAGTTAACAGATGAGTCAAAGGGCATTCAAAAATCAGTGCAGAATGGGTGAGTTACAAACAGATGGTATGATCCCTTCACATCATGCTGTAAACATGAAAAAAATGATGGAAGTAATAATAGAGATAGGAGACTAGTTCTAAAGCTCAGGGGGTAGAGACAAATTTCCGAAGTGAAACCCAAATTCATGTGCCTTGGGAAAAAACAGGCATTTGAATCCACAAAGATTAATAATTAAATATTAATACCTCTGTAACACGGAATACACAATAAACAGAATTAAAGATGAGAGAGGTTGAGAGAATTTTACGCTAACAACACAATATTAGGGACCATATTATAGAAGTATTCTGCAGAACAGTGTGGAAAAAAAAATAGCCCAACTTAAAAAAATAGGCCAGGGATAAAGATAGGCAATCCACAAAATCTCGATCCCCTCTCTAAGACAGTCCTACTCATCAGTAACTTAGTAGTTAGGGAACAACAAATTAAGTAATGCGATCTATTTGTTCAATTCATCAGATCACCAAATACTGGAAATATGGGTCATGCCCAACACTGGTGAAGATGTGGGGAAACAGGGACGTCCGTAGGCTGTAAAAGTATAAACTCGCTCAACAGCGTCTATCGAGACTTAAGTATGCCTACGCGAGGGCACAGCGACGCCTCTGCCGCAAATCTACTTCGCACAAATACTCATGCCTGGCATTGCACTCGAATAATTATAGCTCAAAAGGATTTCTTAAAGTTGAATTCAAATCATTCCAATTAGAACACACAAAGTTTATAATAGCAGAAACAATGGAAATCATCCCAAACATCTAATAATGAGTGCATGGAGTACTTACACTCCCGCCAGAGGTTAGGAAGAAAGGAGTAGCTGCTTATGTGTTAAAATGGAAGCTCTCCTGGACGGAGTTAAATAAAAACTCAAGGAACAATGTGTGACCTTCCATCTATTGGAGAACCCTCAAACAATATGTAGGTTTATATACATTTATTTCTATGTAAATGTGTTTTTGAAAAGTAAAAAAAAAAAAAAAAAAACTCTTCCATCTTAACGGTAGTTGAAGGAAGGGTTGTAAGATTTCTCTATTTGAAGTCTTTGACCATGAAATCAGGTGTCACTCCACACATCTATGCATGCATCCATTCGTTCATTCCTTCATTCCTTCATTCATTCCGGTGGAGAAAAAAAGGTTGACTGGAGAAGGAGCAAGTTTTAAATTTAGATAAAATAAAAAACAGAATCCTAATGTGACCTCACAGCAGAGTCGGTGGCTGGCCCGTCACACGCGGTTTGGTGTGCTCTGTGATGGCACTACGTGAGGAATTAACCCAGGGACTTGCAAGAAATGGTGCTGTGGTATGTGTAGTGTTGTGCCCATGCATATAGTGAGCAAACTCAGGAGTCAGGACAGAAAAGCACCTGATGGTGGAGTGATAGCTGGCTCCCAAACGTGTAAGCACACACATGGAAAATGACTTTTATCTAAGTTCATTTGTCATCTGAAGACAGCCACATCCCCAAAATTCCAATGTCACATCATACGAATAATCCTCAAACACCCCACAAAATGTGACCAATAGGACAGACGTCAGAGCAATGCCAGTCCTGCCCAGGGGAAAGACAAAACAGAACATGAGCAGCTCCCATGAAATTGGGGAAAAAAAAAAAAAAGGTTGTGTTTGTGTTATGTTAACAAGGCTATTTAGCAGGTCTTGGCACACATTTATGCATAAATCAGTTTACTGGCTATGCTTCTGTGTGGTCTGATGATTAGATAGTGAAGGAACATCCTGCTGGCTATTTTTTTTATAGTGCGGGGGGCAAGTCACTTTATTGAGCTGACAGTCCCATTGCCGGTAGCTAATGGTAATGTGTGGAGAGTGCTAGAACACCCAGGACCCCACTGGGGGCTTTATCTTATCACAAGAAGCGGACAATTCTAGGGCTGAAATGGGAGTGGCCATGTAGCCAGACATTCATTTGGTTATGGAATCGGCTTTCCTGCTCTGTAGGATGAGGGTCACCCAGCCTCTGGGAACACTTAGGACACAGGCGCGTGACACTGAAGGCGCCCTTACCAGTGGGGCCCAGCCGGTCACAAATGCCACTGCCCACCGCGTAACTGTCATCTGCTGATCTCACTTCTCTCTGGAACCACACCGAACAAGAGGTCCTGCCCTCTGTTGTGCGGTAGTCTTGCAGGCTCCTCTTCTGTCTGAATTAGCCCCTATCCCTTCAGGACTTCTTCAACGGATCCTGATCTCTAGGAACGTCAACGTTCTCTCGGACGCTCAAATTCAAGTCTAGGAGTCATCTTTGACTCCTCTTTCCTGGTATACCACGTGCAGTCTATCAGCAAGGCCAACTGGCTTTAGAATTTTTATTTAAGGTCTGGCAGCTTAACACCACCCCCACGGATATGCCCCAAGTTGTGACCTCCCACCGTCATTTATCACTGGAACTGCCGTAAGAGCCTAAAACTGCTCTCTCGGCTCCTGCTGAAAGATATGTACCCCCTACTTAACATCCTTTGGTGACTTCCATTTATACTCAGAACAAAAACTGAAACTGAAGTTCTCACCATGGTCCAGCCTCTGGCTACTTCTCCAGCTTCATTTCTCATCACTTAATCCTCTCGCTGGGTTTCAGACACCCCAGTGCCTCTGCTTCTTCTCTACCTGGATCCTAGCTGTTCCCTTAGCCTGAGAGGCCAGTCCCTTAGACGGACACAAGCCCACCCTTGTGTTCATCACTGGGGTCTCAGCTCAAATACAGCTCTTCAGCAAGGAGCCAACCTCACTGTCCCTGTAAATACTCATACCCTGTTTTCTTTGTAGCACTGATCACCAACAGGATTTTTAAAAAGGTTATTGTCTGTCTTCATTAGAATGTAAGTCCCACAGGGGCAAGTCCTGTATCTGCCTTGTCAACTCCTATTCCAGTAGTGCCTAGAATATGCTCAGTACATGATAGGTGCTCAAAACAAATATAAATTGAATGAATAGGTAGGTGAATGACCTGACACCATGTGGTATATTTGAATGAAATTGCTTGGTCTAAAATAATGGAGCGTTCTCAACATTTTTTTTTCTGCTCTGATACTAGGCTGGAGACATTCATATACTGGAAACTTTTCCAAGAGTATACTAAGAATGTGGGCTGTGTCATAGACAAGGTAATCTAATTGTTTATGCCTAGTATACCAACTTTCACTTCCCACCCAAGAAATGTGAGTAAAACACTATTACAGGGCTAGCCTTGAATTCTCTAGTTTTTCTATTATGTTTTCTATTTATTTACTAGTAGATATAGGAATGCTAATGATTTTACCAAGTGGATCTAACAAGGACCAGTCTTGCTCAGTTATAGTTGTTTCTTGATTATCCCAGAGTTTTCTATGTAGATAGCTGTATCGTATGCAAATATGAGGATTTGTCTCCTCCTTTATAACTCTTACATTTCCTTTGTGTGTCTTATCCCTTTGATTAGGAACTCTA